ACCTTATTTTTAAACTTTTTTCGTTAATTTTGAACGCATTGTTGAGGATGGTGCTTTTCTCTGTTTCGTTCCCTAAAACTATCCTAAGTAGTCGTCGAGAATTTTCCGTAACATCAGGGTTTCGTTTCCCGATCCTGATGGCTTTTCTTACGTGAACTCCAATTGCTTTTTTGGGAAGTATTTCCCGGATTATGGAGCTAACCGCCTTCAGATCATCTGGATGTCGGGCAGCTGGATCTGTGTTCTTAGATTCCTCCAAATTCCAGATGATAACACTGTAACTAGAGTCCGTGGGTTTCTGAGTTTGGCTGGTATTAACAGCCGTCGAGACCTTGTTGGTGAACTCGGTTGATGTTTCGTTCCTTCGTTTATTTTGCTTCTTACCTGTCGGCACCAACCAAGTGGAGTCAGTTTCTTCCACTTTGTTTTCGCCGCGACTAGAGGGCATTCGTGCACTAGACACGCTGCGCTTTGGGGTGGCCATTTCACAGGCTGGTGTTGCCATGCTGGCACTACTTGCCCTTTTAGATTTCCTTTGTCGTTTGCGCTTTGTCGCAACAGACATTTGGGCACTCTATGCCTCTTTCGCCTCCTGAGCCTCGAATGGCGATACACCCTCAGTTTTAAAATTATGTCCTGAACCGCCATTTTTGGCTATGATTTCTGGTACGGCCTTTCGATGACGTTTTTAGTCAATTTCTTGGACATCAGGAGTCCCACTGCCTCTTGGATGAGGACATCCAATGGGTTGCTGCAAAATTTGCACAGCCACGGAGATGATGGCATGCAACATCTCTTATAGGCTACTGGTGACAAACCAGTGCAAACCTTGTGGAACCAAAGGCTGCAGTTGTCACACTGCATACCATCATCCAGCGGAAAGTGGCAGTCCGGTCGTCCACAATTGTTATTCGGACCAATAGCGCTAATTTGTTTCAACAACACAAATATATGTACGTGAAAACTGTCAGGTTAACACCAACCAAATACACAAATGTATATGCATGAAAAAAGCGTAAATACCAAACAAAACACAAACTGTGAATAATATGAACAACACTTCAACTAAATATATCAGTTAAAGTGAACTAAAAAGCTTCTGATGTGGTTTAAACAACAAAAGCAGAATTTACTTCACAATGTAAAAATGCCACTCTCCTTTCTCAAAGCGCGCGCACTTGTGTAAGACTCATAACCTATGCCACTACTTTTCTGCTTAGTATCTCTGGGTGTTTCTTATGCTTTCAAGGAAGGCAGAATAAGATGAGCAGACACTGCCCCCTATAAGACTACAATCCAAACGTTTATGACTCCATTGGAGAAGCGGTTTCCCGAGTAGATACAGTTCGTCCCTAGTTTTGAACTGCCCTATTCGGTCCATCAGGATTTTTAAACGAGGTGTCATCAATAAGAAAAGACTGATTAGGTTCATGTTCCTTACTTAAAACTCTGGATATCTTGATTATTTCTCCTTTCTGCAAATGGTATGATAATGGAAAGATGTTCAGTCTGCTGCTGTATTCATATACGTATGAGTTGGATTCTAGGCGAGGACAGACTTTTAGGATACAGGTTCTCCACCAAAAGTGTGGTTGAAGCGGTGAACGTACGATTAACAATAATTAGAAAGTACGCGTATATTGCACATAGAGATATAAGACAGGTAATTTCAATCTAGCATCAGTGTGACATGGCTTTTAATTGGTGACTTGCTATGATGTCCGGATCAGCTTGCGTCTCAAATTAAAGAAGAATTAATCCCTTTGTGTCGTATGTGCTGATATTTGAGTGCCTAGTACTTGTGTTTGCACACACAACATCGTTATAAATCAATTATTAGACCTAATTTACAAGGTCTGTTTGCGGTCTTGTCTCAACCGACTCCAATTTTTTAGGTTATCTGAGTGAAGAACTATAGATAGTATGGCAAACAATGGTAATTCGTCGATATTTAAAGCGAATAGAAAGTTATTTTAAAAACTATGTTCCCTTGATGAACTTAGGTGAAGAAAGAAACACCAAATTCTAAGTCTCGAATAATGCTATTTCGTGATTTCCAAATACTTCAAAATATTGTGTATATATATATAAAGGATAGCATATTTACTAAGATTTGCTGAGGCAGTTAAGTTTAGCCGTTTCAGTACAAACTTGTGCATGTAGAGCGTGTAATCAACATCTTAATCCCTAGTTAACTGCCTTCTGGACACATTGATTAGTCATCCATATATGTGATTTCAGCTTATCTAGCACGCTTTAATCTTAAGTTTCTATGTGAACTTATAAGCTAATGCTGTTTATCGACATTTGTAATTTTACAACATTTTACCTACAGCCCTTAGAAAATAGTAGTATATCGTTTTAATTCTGTGTAACCATTATAATTTCAGGTAGTTTGCAGTTTATATGAACCTGTGAAATAGAATGATCTCTTTTGACACTTCGAATTTGATATTTTTTTCCTTATCAAAATGGTGTGCTTTAGAAAGTTGTGGTATATTGCTTTGGGCTGTTCATCAGGACGAGTCTCTTTTTTATCCCTACACTCTGCCTCCCACTGATAGGTAACGCTTCGGTCCTAATTAATGAGATGTCTGCGATTTCGATAATTTCTAGTTTGTGAAGAATTCACTGTGGTACAGTTGAGCATATATTTTTCTGAAACTTATGATGTTATATTTTGACATAGTTTTCTCCTTCAGTGGCCTTTATTAGAGAGGAGACGTTTCCCTAAAATCCATGATGTGCGTTGGACAGCAATTTGCTGTTATCCAGATAAGCTCATACAAGTCCATTTTCGTTTGTTCTGCAGCCGACACTGTAGCATATATGCATGTCTCGTCCCTTGTATTTCAGTACGAAGTGTATAATACTCATAAATTAGTATCATTTGCGATTGCTTTTACACTTTGTCTTTCTTAAAACAAGTGGATTACTATTTCTGCCGAATTATAGTCGAAATTCTGCAGGTAAGCTTCATCATCAGTGTTCTTAGATATTCATTATAATAAAGGTTTTTGTATTTCCCAATGAATGAAAAACAAAACGATATTGTTTTTACTGACGTTTCGCTATTTAATGCTAATAGCCTTATCAAAGTATTATTAAACCATAATTTTTCAAACCGTTAGAAGTGAACTTGGTTTGGACATATATAGTGTTCTTAGATGTTAACCAGTAGAAAATGCAACAACATATTGGCTCTCTACGTCATTGAGATTACTTCACCCTCTTGCCCTGTTAACAGATATTACTGTGTCACGGTGCTTTCAACCCTTGCAACCCGAAAATTCATAATTACTGTCAAACTCTACCCACTATAGCAGCGTTTGCTAAATTACACCTTTGAAGACAGTCCTTGATGTGGTCTTCTGCACATAGGTTATCACAGATGCTTTATCTGTTATGAGCATCAGCTTTTCCTAGAATACCTCTCACCCTATCACATAGTCTACTTTGACCCTGAGGAGGCTACCAATTACATGTGAACTATAAACAGTGACGCCCCTAGTGCCGAGAGGAGAGGCTTTTTATAACTAGATAAACAGGACAAACTTCTTGTTCAAATCTGGTTTTCAAATCAACTTCAGGCGGCTCTCCTGGTCACTGAAGGCGATTAGCTTGTTGCAAAGAACAAATTTTCTGCTGCTAGTACAGTTACTTTTGAGTAGGGCGATTTATCTTCCGTCAGAGGCAATACACGTACGTTAGAGGACAACTCTAAAGCATATAGGTGATGGAATCTCAACTATTTGAGCTTCCAGAAACAACATGTTAATGCTCCTTTGTAGATCACGACAAGCACCAGATACGTAGGATCTAATGACCATGGAATAAATTCTCTTGGAAAACTTAAGCACTTTGTATTGCGAATAAATTACCATTACAAAGGACTTTAGTGTAGCACCTCTCACTTTAGTACAGGAGGCCTAGAGCTCACAGGACATATGCAGTCAGAATCGTGACGTGAAGTTGGACACAAATTATAAAATAATATAGGGAAGGAGTAGTCCGAATATGTCTGATTTCTACTGGTTATCAGGAAACATGGAAGTCAGATCCATTCGGTAACAGTGAAAGCAAAGTTGTGACTGTTGAGTTTCTGCTTAATAAACACTCGTTATAAGTGTAAAACTTGGGCACTGTGGTAGAGTATAATTCCATTAGTGATGAGATTTTATTGTGATAGATCACACGGTGTTGTACACTAATATTAACTTCACAACACTGTGTGATTGATGAAAATAAAATCTTATCCATAATGGAATAATATGTTGTATTTTTCGTTCCACTTAGTGTTAAAACAGAGCTAACTAATTAAAAAAGGGAAAAGGCGCACTTGCATTCTTAGCCCTAAAGTGTTTATAGATAAACTGTGGAACCTTGTCTCTGGTTAGTTTCAGGATGCAGTGATTTCTGCCTAGCAAACTTGAGACTATGGTCGAACAACTTAACGTAATTCGACAGCGTGTCAAAATATCGTAGGTGCTTGACAGCATACTTTGAACTTAGCCAATTTACATGTGATTTTGAATGATGTAAGCTGTAGGCTTATAATTATTTTAGCACTGCATCTACTTCAGCACTCAGCGGAGCAGCAGAAACCCTTGTTCCTATAATAAAGGAGTTCGTCGGCGGTATCCCACCTTTGTGTAAATGTGGCTTTCTTCATAGTGGTTCTGAAGACAATATAGTATTTTTAAAGAGCATTACTTGGATCCTTGACGCTCTTAGTTATGTCCAGAGATTTCTAATGAGAAATGAGTTGCCATGGTCCCAGAACAGACCTCGAAGTTCTCTCTAAACTGAATGGTCTTCCAGTGTCTTCGAATACTACTAAAATAATGGAATGCAGGCGAACAGAGTTTACATAGGGGTTTCCAGAGATTAGAGATAGATTATCACCATCTTCAAACAAGGAGAGAATAATCAGTTTTGTTTATAATATTCCATGAGCAGTTGCTTAATATCTGATTGGGTACTTGCTTTCAAGGTCGTAATAGCTTTCCAATGGTGATACTCCGCGGACATGTGAAACATGTCAAATGGAACGCATTGTGGACTACTCTGAAAATTTATCTACAAATACAGACTCAGATGTAAGGATTGATGAAGAAGCTTCACAATACAGTGAATTAGAGAACTTCAGTACTTTGAGTACAGCCATTTCATAAAATATTTTGTTTTAGTTTTACCTATTTCAAATACCTTCCATTATGATCCTGAAGTGGAAGCACTCCATAAAAAAGTTCAGTGGATAGTATTTTCCTCACTGTTCCCAATTCTAGGTTATTATATTGAGGAAAGAGTTATCGAGTGTTGTCTGCCAATCCGAATATTCTGAAGCAGTACGTGCAAATGCTGAGTTGCATGCATCGCTGATGAAATTTCAGTTAATGAGGCAATTTAAATGGCATATATCCTTTTTACTAACAATCTGTAAGTCAGTTTTTGGTCACGAGATATATTTTATTCAAAACATCATTTTGCATCAGTTATTGCTTTTTTGACTTTAATCTACATCTTTTCTAGACGCAGAAAAGTTTTGGAGCTATGTGTGCTATGCCACTATGTGCTGAATTGTCTTTTCGTTGTGAAATAATGCTAGTCACTGCTGAATATGGGCTGTGAGGGCTGGAACAACGCTGATAAGCAAACCCACTGGGTTCTGATATATTCTTCAGAATACCTAGAAAAAGAAGAGGGTGTTGATTTAGTGCCAGCCATGCTGAAAACCAGCACTGAGTTCTAGTCTGTCCGGATAATCAAACAATTTCAGAAGAGATTCAGAATTTTCTCATTATAGAATGTTATACTTAGTTGAGAATTAGCGAGATTTAATTTAGCCCTAAAATGAGCGTGGGTAAATCTATCTCTGATTAAATATTTCAGAATAGTTTGAGAAAGGCCACGCTTTTTCTCTCGTGGCCCCCTTTAGTACGAAATGGTGTTTTTTGAATAATAATCCTCAGCAATAATACTGGCTGACTTGTTTTTGATATGCAAAAGGCTATCAATAAGGCAGTCTATATATCTGGCAGAGAAGTCTATGCAACTTACTTGTAGCTTAGTGAGCTTTTTATAAATGACAAAATATCCACTACCAACGACTTTAAGAACAGAAGGTAACTTTTCAATACACTTCTTTCGAGTAACGTTTTTAATCGAAAGTCTTAGTTGCTTGAGCTTGTTTATTACTGGAGGCAAAACTACTCTGAAACTTAGCTTACAGGGTTTGGAGTATATATAAGAATAATTTAATTAACCCAAAGAGTTCGAAATTTATTTTGTAGCTAAAACATCATTTTAAATTCAAAGGACTTGAATAGGTTGGTGTTTTTGTTGAGCTACTACATCTTCTAAAATTTCCAAAGTTTCTCATCAAACCATTTGGTTATGTATTTGCGTTGCAAGTTTATTTATTGATCATAATATCTCAGTACTTATGTTCAGTCCATGTTACATGGACTTGCCAACAGCGTAAGTTTGGATCGATGAAAGTCTTGTCTGCTTGAATATCTACAGAAATAACTATCATGGGATATATGAAAAAGGAAAAATATCAAGCATTATCCAGTGTAAGAATATTTATTTTCGGCTGATTCCATTTTCAGTCTGTAGAATCTGTAAGTAAAATCGGAATTTAATGGGACTATAAATATCCCTCTCAATGTATATATGACGAAAATGTTGATTATTAATCACAACTATTATTTGTCTCTTTTTTAACAGAGGCGTAGTGACTGAAAGAATTTTGATACCCTTAATTGCCTTCGTTTATTTTGGTATGTTAATGCTTCTGGAAAATCTGTAAATTTGTGGTAGGAATGACATAGACTATTCAAGTGATTCAACATAAGCAAAGAAGACGGAAATAGAAAATGTTGCAGTGACTGAATAGGCCTTTGAGACGAAGAGGGTAGACGCTAAACTGTTGGGATAAATACTTTGAGCAGTAGTCACACGAGCATGTAACACGTAGATGTTGGTCTTTCTGTTCTAGCCAAGGCTGCGAAACTCGTTTCTCATTTTTAACAAAACAAAGTGCAAATTTTAATCCTACTGGTAGTGTGAAGGAATTACTGAATAGACTAAGTGAGGTGTTTGTTGGTCTTTGTGGTCAGAATTAGCTCTGCTAAGCTGAAGTAAATCGTTGGCTATCCCATCTTGTTAGGATAGGGAACAATTCTTCCGCCAACATGGGGAAATTAGCCTTATTAATACGGTGTTCAAATCCAAAACTCTGTAACAATGTATAGGTTGATTGCGCAACTGGAAAGCAAACTTGGGAAGGCCCGATAGTTTTACACATAGGTGAGGGTACTGAGGGATTCTTAATTATTGCATATCTGTGGATATCTGCATTAGATACTTTTCATATTCTCAGCTGATGAGTTTTTAGGGAATTTAATACTTTTCCACATGAAGTTGACCTTCAGCTCCGGCGATGGTACGGCTTTATGGTAACGTTCTGCTGCGAATGCAACGCGGAAATACATTGTGCTAAAAAAGACACTCTATATGAAGGTAGACAGTAGTGTAACAGTTGTTGTGAGAGTTGATGAAACTCCTAGTTTCTGTCTGGGATTTCAGGAGCCATTAATAACCGGTGAACGAGAATATGCTCACTAATTCCCTAGACACGATAAATAAGCATCTTGTCATCTACTCAAAATTCATTAAAATACAAGTATCTTGAACAGACTACAGTTTTAGAATTTGGAGATTACTTTCGTAACAATTATTATTCATTCTTTGCATTTTGAGTAGAACATAGGGCTCCACTCCACCGGGTTTCCTGCAATCACTTTCAGCTAACTCCACGATTACCCAAAAAATTTGATTTACTGTTTACATGGTCCTCTCCATGTCACTATTGTAGATATTGGATGATGCGGAACTTAACAGTGTCCAGGCCGAATTGTTAATACAGCCGAAGGTAATCTGTAAAGCAGATGAATTTGTGGTATAAAGTTTTCGAAGGAAATAAGAAATTCTTTTATTTAATGCTTACATGTAGCCTTCTTGAAGACCAGAAATAATATCAGTTATTGTTACTTGGTAAGCTACTCTGACAGACCTACGTCTTGACTAACCGACTTGCTGGTTATTTAGTATGACTCATCTTAATTTGGAGTCCAGGGTAGTGATAACACGGTTTGCCTAAGAAAGAAGGATATTACACTTATACTTGTTAAAAGATGCATTTAAATATAGGGATTTAAGACACCTGACAACAATTCACCACCGCACTATGATGCACTTACCATCCTCTCACTGATTCAAACACCAAATGACCGCTACATTTTGCTTAGTCCAAAACCTGACAGGCCTTCTACATTAGGCTCTACGCTCACCAGTCTAATAAGCTATTATTCTATCATGTGACCTTCCCTTATCACATGTTAGCTTGTAGGGATTTAACTACCTGTAAGACACTTACTAGTCACATGTTGCGGGGTTTGATTCCTGGCTGACGCAATCCCAAACCACGCTTAGTCAGTAGTAAGCCCAGTGAAGGGGGGAGGTTGGATGCGAGGCTAGCAATTCTACCGAAGGAAAAAATAAAAATCAATGACATTGAAACTTCAAAGGCCAAACATGAAGCTCTATATTCCATTGGGAATGCAAATGAACGAAATAAAACAACAATAATAAGATGATGAACTTAAACCGCAGTTTGAGAAACAACTGTTGAAAGCCACCATAAAATACTCTACATCTGTTTAGTTCTGCTTCTTCGTGACTCTCCTCGACAGTACACACCAGTGACCCTACTGGGAATCAAATCAAGGACCTGCAAGACATGAGGCAAGCCTTTCGTCCAGTGTACTTTCTAGTTTTCAGTGACTCTTTAACTGATGCCGATTCGTGCTCTAACTAGAAACCTTTGTTTCTATTGGAGTTTTGAAACGGTTAATCACTTTCATAAGTTCAAATAAGGCATTAAGAAGACAAATGTTATCGTGGGATGATATCATTTCGTAGTTTCTCTACAATCGCTCTAGAATGATCATGGCTGACTATAATACAATAAAACATTTGACAATTAGCCATATGAAATAAAAGTACATATTAATAACCAATCGTATTCTAGTACTTTAAATAGTCTATGGTATTTATTATTGCTTTTATTTCTATGAATTCTGAGGAGAACACAGGGCTTCAGAAGTACATTTCCATTTCACTAGATTAGCTGTAGTGTTTTTGTAGCTGGCTCCGCGGTTGCCCCACACACGATCTCCTCTATGTCATCCTCTAACTCACACCCATCTCTTCACCGACTACGCATCTGGGCCCTACTCAAGGATCTATCTGCATTATTATATCACCTAAAGATATCCTCAGCATACGTCCAATCAATCCATTTCTTTCTGAATATTTGTTGGGCGATAGGTTCTTGGTTCGTTCGTTGGCAAACCTTCTTGTTGATAATCCCTTCTTATCATCAGATCTTCAATATGGAGAGTAGGGGGTTGGTAATTATAAAAGTCTACAGTCTGCTTAGTAATCAGTCGGAGGCAGAGGTTTTATATGGGTCTGGATTAATTGTAATAAAGTTAGACAAGCTGATCTGTGAAGTCTTCTAGTTATTTATTTACCCTAAGTTATTCAATTTATTCAAATCTTATTCTTAAACGAAATTTCGTTATATTTTTTTCTACAAAAAAACTAAATATATTATATCAAGCCGCCGCTTTGCATGACCAAGAGAGTACAAGTCTACTACAAGATTCAAGGGTAAACAGTTCAGGCGAAGGTGTAAATCTACTCACTGAGAGTTCATTTCAAGCTGGTAGAATACAAAATGATATTCAGAAACTTTCTCATGAGATAGTAAGTATAAATATTTTAAAAAATGTTAACTAAACCTTGCATATTTTAACTTTTGAAATAATGATAATAAGTACTAGTAGTGGTAGAAATAGATTATGAGGCATTTTTCAGTAATATTAGATGTTTGGGTGGACGATTGATTGGAAGCCCTTAAGTAGCTATTTGTGCTTACTGAAACTAACCGATTAGGTGTGTTTACAGCTTCGAAAGGAAATGATCTCCTACTAGAGATTCGAACATGTGTCTTCCCCAGTGCTACTGCCTTAGATGCTATTATTAAACTAGTGGAATGTTATGGGTATATTGTCTAGTCACTACAGATTAATGCCCATTTCATGCGCTTAATTATTAGAATGTGGATTCTATATTAGTCAAGTTCACAAATCGGTCACCAAACTAGATGATACAACATTACGGTGCATTTTGAACTAGTGCTAGATGGTTGGAGGCGACTGTTGAGAAGCCGTCGACAAATTCAGTCACTAGCAATGACATCCCTTCAGAGATGTGAACATGTATCAGCCAAAGATGCAGCCAGAAACGTTACCACTGGCCTACTGTCGCAATATATTGGATCCATTTTCATACTTGTTCTTTTCATCTCTTAATTTTGTCTGAATAAATTCGGTTTCCACAGGTGGAATTTCGCTTTCTGGAACCGTGTAAATTGCAAATTAATTTGCCAATTGTGAATATGATTTGGGGATTTCGTTCACCTTCAGTGTAGATTTCGTCATGAACCAACAGTGGGTTGACTGTGTTAAGTTCAAGTGAATGCTCATCTAAGGCATATACTGGCGGTAGCGCTGGACCACACAAATTGAGAAGGAATTCTGAATCCCAGCTGGCCTGGGTGAATAGTCAGCAAGTTTGACCTTGAAACTTAAAGATCCCATGTGTTCCGACCCCTGTTGGGGTCGTGTGCATATACTACTGAAGACTCGCCAACTAGGACGAAACAGGTCTCCAGTAGGGCTACTTGGTTTTCAGTAATTCTCTAACTGACGTGTCAGTTCCTAATGAAATCTACTTTAAGCATATATATATATATAATCATTTAGTTATTCCTTCTCTAAAATGTTTTTGCTCTCTACACCATAGATAGCTGCATTAAGAGACAAGAATATTCAGCTGAAAAATCTCTCCATCGAGAAAACTATACTCCAAAGTTCGTACGATGAACTGCTTCAAAGGCATGAATGTTTAAAGAAAGAGCATGAAGGAACTCTAAGTTTGTTCATTATTAATCATTTAAGAATTTTCTTTTATTCTCACATCAGAGAATTCAAAAATAATAATAATATGAAGTATATTTTCAAATGTTTTATCATATTCCACTTTTTTAAGGATTTGTGAAAACCATGCCTTCTATTGTAACGTCTGTGGTTTAATGGTACAATGCCCACTAACCAACTGCGAGGGCCCAGATTCGAATTCATGGCCGAACTTCAGCTGATTTAGCAGCAGCCAGTAGTAAGTCTGGAGAAGAGGCGAGGACAGTTAGGTGTGAGACTGACAATTCCAACCTACTACTACCATTGGGATTTCGAAAGATCAAAGCCTTATATTCTGCTTGAAATGCGAGGTATAAAACCAAATGTCTTCTGTTGGGGGGTGAGGAAACAATAAATTGAGCGAAGAAGTATATTTGCTGTTCAGTGAAAACTAATTATTTACTCCGATCTTTATTACATTTATAAGTTATGATTATTAATACCACTGTTACTTCTTATTATTCTTCCCACTTCACCATTTAATTTCTTTGATTCCTTGTGTTTCAAGTGAAATATAGAGCTTCAAGCTTCTCCTGAAGTTTCAGCAGTGTTAGTGTTTTTATGTGGTGGTTTTGACAGCTTAACGTCCAACCTTCTCTTTCTTCGAAGCTTACTACCGTTTAATAAACTGGGAGAGGTTTATAAGTGCATTGGTGGTCGGGAAGAGAAACCAGATCTCCTACATGCCTGGCAAGCATTCATTCACCTTTACCTTTTTTGTATGACCGTTTATTCTTTTCATTTCATGCATTATGCAAAAACCTGTTTTAATTTTCAGAAACACTTCTACCCTTTATTGGTTAGCATTAAATTCCTTGATAATTCGTCATCCTTCTTTGACGTGTAGGTACTCACTAATTATTGTTAACAGATGCATCACTATCACTATATTTTGTGTCACAAACTAACGTCAGTTAGAGATTCACTGAAAACCTGGGAACACACTAGACAGCTACCTCATTCTAATTTAAGACTATTCAGCAGTAAGCACATATGATTCCAGAAGAGATTGATTTTACAAAGGATGCCAGTTAACCATTCAGCCCCTGGGTCAGAATCCAGTGGCTCATGAATTCCAGCTGCTATCAGCTCGTAACTTATAGTACCGCCGGCAGCCAGTATCATCGGAGACTATTAGTCCTCACCCCCGACTGGATGGAACCTATTGGTCGTAACTTCTCAACAGAAGGCCAGGAAATATCGTCCTGTAGTCACCCACTAGTGGGCATCAGATTAATTTACAAGAGTTGGTTTTCAGGCACATTTAGGTGGTTTCAAGTGTTTTAGTGTTAGATGACATCCTACCCTACAGTACTTAGACTAAATTCATGCCCGATTCATTTTATTTTCACTTACACTGCAGGTGTCATTGAAACACAGAAGGGAAGACTGTCAGCTCTTGATAGTCTAAATAAGGATTTGACGGAAGAAAATAGAAATGTATCTACCAAACTATTGGTGAGTTCATACATTCGAATAGACATACACATTATTTCATATCGCAACAAGTCCTGTATTTATTTTTGATTTATATTATACTACTCATATTTGTTTAAGTAACTAAAGATATATATTGAAATTTACTAAACAGACCACTTTGTACTATAAATTGGTCTATCTAATGAAACTGATATACTGAGGAAAAGCAGCTAACAAACAATCTTAAGGAGGTGAGGAAAAGTAGAGTAATCTCAGAGGCAGCCTGAAACATCCCTAAACCTACTGGAAGTAGTTTGCTTAAATTACATAAACCAGAACTTCCTCTTCGCCCAGTTCTAGACAAGTCTAATTCCACCTACCATGGTGTGTCACAGTGGCTAGGTGAACTCCCCCAACCATTACACAAGAAAGTGACAAGTCATAGTGTTAACCACGTCTTTGGATTAATTTCTAGGCTACATGATGTAAATGTAAATGGGAATTAAATGCTATCCTTAGATATTGCACCACTGCTCTCCAATGTACCGTTAATCCAGACTGTGGAATTCACCTGCCAACAAATACTAGAAAAGCAGTTCGATATTGGAATTCCAAATACTAGTCTCAAAGAGTTGCTTCTAAGGTGCACTATGAATGTACACTTCACGTTCAGCAACCTTTATTACAAAGAAATTGAATGTATTGCCATGGGTTTTCCATTGGACCCGAATTTGGCAGATTTCTTTCTTGCTAAACTAGAAAATGGTCCATTGAAACAAGTAAAAGATAAAATGGATTCTTAATTTCATTATGCTGATGATACGTTTATTGTCCTTGAGGAGAAAGCTGACAAGAATGAAAGGTTAATAAAATGTAGTGATGCACTTCCACCGCTCATCATCGCCTGTGAAGAAGAGCGCGATTGTAGATTACAATTCCTTGATGTCCAGTTGAGCAGAAGAGAGGATGGTTAGCTCAATAGAGATATCTACAGAAAACCCATGTGTGTAGGACGGTAAACACATTTCTGCAGTTCTGTATGAATCCGTTACCAAATCAGTTTGGTCAGATGCCTCACGAATAGAGCGACAAGGATCTGTGCAGATTACTCCCAAGAAAGTGATTTAAGATGCACCAAAGTACGTTTATCCAAATGAACACCAGGTATAATAAAGTTGACAGTTAAAATAAGAAACAACTGTTCCTGAAAATGCCATTCAATGGGGACGTGGCTAGTAAATTTCTAAATCTACCATTATCTAGAGCAATAAAATGGACTTATATTGCCACCACCTTTTGTCATTTTCCAGGCGAAGGACAAGCTACCTAGCTGTGCCACTTCTATGTGCATTTAAACATTTTAGCTGCTCCTATGAAGAAAGCTGTATAGGGCGAACAGCCAGACAGCTCAACAAATGTTTTACTGAGCATCTTCCTTCATAGTTTCAAAAAGGGCAAACAAAGTCTATACGAAGTTCTATTTCGTCTCATTTGATTGATGACAGCTGTCACCAAGTGGACAGAAGAAATGCGTTCAAATTTATCTATCACACATTCCATTGAAACTTTCGAACGGAATTCGAACCCACCTTTTACACATAGCCGAAGCTATAGGAATTGGAGTGACCAATCCTAGGATTTGCATACAGAAGTATTTTGTTCAAGCTATGTCTCTCCCTTGGCCTTGGTAAATTCTAATTAAAAACTCTCCCACCCTTTCTTATTTGATATTTATTTAAACTCTATCCACTTCACCTTCAGTATTACATAACTTCTAAGATTTGACCTAATTTATTTATTTAATTGCCTACATATACACATATTACTACCTTTGTAATTCTTATCGCCACCTGCAGAAACCTCATTATCATTATTTTTGCTATCACTATGATCATTGTTATTATTGGCGTTCGAAATATTCCGTACATTATTATTAGTAGTATGTGATCTACAAACTAACCGCCACTGGTTAAATTTTTACATATAAAGCTAAATAGATCACAGTAAAGCCTGAAGAAGATCTAATTGCAAACAGTATTGTTTGCTCATATATCTAGTTCTAATATTGAGGATGACATGTGCACCAGTGGTTCAGTGTCTGAATTCTTACTAGTTGCATAAGGGTGTTGGAGTCCATTCCCAGAGGACAAATTCATAAAACTTGCTTGGTTTATTCCTTCCCGCAGTTCCTTGTTGCTTATCCTTTTCGACTACTCGTCTGTTCTCCATTATTCAGACAGGGATGCTAACTGTTGATGAAACTCTACTGTAACTTGTTGGAAATACTTCCCGCAGCAGACTAAGTCTCTAAACTATGTAGAAGTACTCACTGACTTGACACTAGTGTTAAAAATCCGAATCTTACTGTTTATGCTCAGTGTAGTAGATTTGCACACTAATTTAAGATGAATCAAGGTTTTCAAGTAGAGAACCATTGGATAACCTGGAAGTACTGGACAGCTGTTTCTTCCTAGTTTGGGACTCTTCGGCAATACGCACCCACCACCAGGGATAGAACCGAGGACCTACTGGTGACAAGGAGAGCTCGCAAACCATTAAGCCACTGCGACCAGATCCAATGGCCCATGAATTGCAACTTCTGCTAATTCACGACATAGCGTGACCGCTAGCCAATGTCTTCGGCGAGTATTTGTTCTCACACCCGATCTGCTGCACCCTACTGGTCACGACTTCACAACAGAACTCCAGGTAACTACCTACTTGAATAGGGCCAGTCGCCAGTGAGCATCTCATTGACATTCAAGTATTGGATTTTAGGGATTTGATGGATTGGTTACAGGATTTCATCATGAGCTGACATTGGTAGTTACCTGGATTTTTAGTGTGAAGTCGTGGCCAGTAGGGTGCAGCAGATCGGGTGTGAGAACAAATACTCGCCGAAGACATTGGCTAGCGGTCTCGCTATGTCGTGAATTAGCAGAAGTTGCAATTCATGGGCCATTGGATCTGGTCGCAGTGGCTTAATGGTTTGCGAGCTCTCCTTGTCACCAGTAGGTCCTCGGTTCTGTCCCTGATGGTGGGTGCGTATTGCCGAAGAGTCCCAAACTAGGAAGAAACAGCTGTCCAGTACTTTCAGGTTATCAAATGGTTTTCTAAATGATGTCAGCTCATGATGAAATCCTATAACTAATCAAGGTTTTTCTTGATTTTCTTCTTCTGAACGGCTTTGAAATCTTCAAACAATGCTGCCTAGGCAAGAGAAAGAAGTGGCTCCTTTCAAATGTTTCCTGCTGGTGGTGATTGGTGTTAGCTGTTATTGCTGCTTAGGTATCTTCATTACTTATGTCTTGTCTGTATTTACCTGAATTCCTGTCTTTGCTGCCTGCTTCTTCTACCAAGTTGTTCGTTTTTGCTTGTAGGTGTTCTTGTCTGTGTGACCTTAAAACTAAATCATCTGTGAAGTTCAGGCCTTTTTAACGGTCCAACATATGCATGTCTTCTTTCTCTTCACGGCCTGCAGTATGACCCAATCAGGTATATCATCGACGACTGTAGGCAGTATTGTTATACTTCTGTCTTCATTTCAGAGGCATTGCTGAGTTTTCTTTCGCGGATCACTTTACACACGCAGCATTGTCACACAGGCTTTGAACGATGTTGATAAGGTTTTGGAAGCAGTACTGTAATTTAGAAAATGGCTTAACACCTATCTGAGACTGGCAGCAAAATGCACCCTGAAGAAATTTGCCAAAGACTTTTGATAACCTGAAACCTAGTGTCAGCAAACGCCAAAAGATTTCTGCTGCTTTATACCAACTGATAAACGCAAGGAGCTGAATTGATTGAGATAGATGGGGTAGGCGATACGCATACTGAGGCATCACACCCCTCATCAAGCAATGTTAAGTGACAAAGGATTAGTCTGAGGTGGAGTCAGGTAGGATGGTCAAATGAAAACATATCACCGATCAATGAGGTCTGTGACTGCACATTTGTAGGTAAAGGCTGTCCGGCAGAAATTACCACTCTCGTTTTGGATTAAGGGGCTACTTGAACAAATACATCGGTATTCTTACTAGGATTAATAACTCCAGGTCACCTGATTTTTAGTGGTAGTGGAAACACACCCCATCACTCACTGGTGAGCACGTGCATCGTCAACTAGTGAGTACTTAATACAAGGAAACTCAATTCATTGAAAACACTAACGAAATAAAACAGATAGAAGACGCTTTGATGTTAAATAACTATCCTATAAAATTCATTAGGAAGATCAAAAAAGGTCAAAAGTAAAATAAAAATAATGGTGCTACTAACAGAGATAACATAAATAAGAAAAAATATACGGCATCTACAGCTTTACCATATAAGGAGGGTACATCTGAGACCCTACGTAGGATTCTGAATAAAGCAGGAATTAGGGTGACGTTCAAATCTACAAACTCGCTCAGAGACAATCTCTGTAAACTAAAGGACCTGGTGAACCCAATTAAACAAAATAATATAATTTACAAAATACCCTACAATGACTGTGAGTCAGGTCAACTACATAGGTCAAGCTATTTGATCAAGAGTAGTGAAATTATCCGAACATAAGAATATGACTAAGGTTAGAATGATTGATCCCACGAAAATAAGTCATTTAGAAAAAACCTCAGCAATTGCACTGCATGCATTAACACACTATCCAGAAATAGGGTAGTGTGAGAGGGTTAAAATTCTAAAACGTAATCTACGTAGGTGGAGAGAGAGGTTGATTACTGAATTCTTCTTCATCGAGTCTACACCCAACACACGCAATAGGAATGACTCAATGCAAATACCAGAAATATGGAAGATATTATTACCACCAGTTAAATCAGAGGAGGATAATAAATAATCTTAAAATTCTATTTCAATTCAAGTACATCATGACATTCTAACAAGTGACTTATTTTGACTATAAAAACATCTTATTTCCCGTCCGACTGTAATTGGTTGGTGTTATTTCACTCATGTACATAAATGAAGCAAGAAAGTTGTGTGAGTAGTGCCTTGATGTGATTATGAGCAGTAATAAATTGTGCTTGAAATGTCAT